CGCGTCCCGACGCCGCCGTAACCGCTCTACCTTCAGCGGGAACTCGGAGCCTGTGAAACGCTAAGGCCCCTTTCCAGCTCCCAGCCCTGGTAGCGGCTTTCCGTCTTCCGCCTTTGGAGCTTGGCCACTCTGGAAAGCGCCTGGAGGCGGGACGACGCGGTGTGTGTCCTTAAGGGGGTGTTTGGACGAGGGCCTTCGTGACTTTAAGAGACAGAAGAGTCCTATATATAAAATGAGGAGCCTTCATGTCAGCAAAAAGTTAGAAAATGCATATTATGAAGACTGCATGGATTTCTAAATATTTTTTGTGCCAAAAAAGCCTTGTTCTTTAATGGCATTTATTCAGGGACTTTTTAAGGCTCTTCCTGCAGCAGCTCACTTTCTTCTGTGCCGGCTCCATTCAGACAGGCTTTCCTCTCCCCGTGCCCGGCCTTTACCCTCCAGAGCGTGAGCGAGGCGAAGGTTCCGCTTCTCAACTGTCCCCACAGAACGTCTCAGGGTAGAATCTCATTGGCTGTGAGGCACATGTCTACACTCAAATCAATCCGGTTATTGCTGCTGGGCTCTGATTGGCCAGGCCTGGATCACATGACCACTTGTGGCTTCTGCTGGCCTCTGATTGGCCAGATCTGGGTCACATACTCCCTTCTCAACATGAGTGTTGACTTGGTCCTACTAACATGGAAAGACTAGGGGCAGAGAGAAGGACCCCATCGTAAAGCCTCTGAGCACCAAGAGGCGAGGAGCATGGTCCCAGGGAACACGGGACGCTGTTATTGGAAGCCAGCCTGGAGGAGGCAGGCAGACTCACAGGTGTCCACTGCGGGTGCTCTCCTGCCATAGCCCAGGAGGCAGCAGCTGTGAGCAGTCTGGACCCACAGGCTGCGTTGCGTGATGGGTAGAGCAGGATCCACGGGTCTCATCGTGCTACTCCGAACGTCAGAGAAGTTAAGACATGTGAATCGTTTACTCCTGGGGTTTTCCACTTCATGCTTTTGGACCGCAGGTGTCGGAACATGGACAGTGGAACTACGGATTCGGACTGTGATCACATTGACCAGCTTCCACATTGTCACAGGATAATTACAAACAAATAACCTCATGACTCACAAATATACAGTGAACGGGGTCAACATTTTTATTTAATAACGACTCGTGAAAGAACCTCTAACATGTTATGCCATTCAAAGAATTAAAAGAGAGAGAGATGCCAGCCCTGAAGTAAGTGTATAAGTAGGTTAAAAATGGACTTCCCCACGTGGGTGGGCAGAGAAGCCGGCTCTCCGCGCACTGGGCAGGGTTTGTGTGCCTCCTGACAAGAACGATTTCCATTGCATTTGTTTATCTGTAATTTGCAGAACTGTAAGATAGGTCAAAGGTAGTGAACGTCAGGAATAAGGCGTAATCGTGTAAGCCTTGAACAAGACACACTTTCCTGGCGAACACCCTCCGTGTCCTTCGGCCCATTGCAAAGTCTGCTGCAAAATCGCGTATTTCCTTCCACCAAATTACCTGAAGCTGAAACCTCCACCTCTCCGGACCACCGCCAAGTCCCCCTGCTGGGACTTGTCAGGACCCGCCCTGCAGGGCAACTGCGTCCCAGGGTCTCTGACAGAGGTCAACACCCTCCCTCCCCAAGCCTGAGTTTCAGGCCATGAAGCCTGGGCCTTGAACCATGTCCACCACGTGGGAGTCCAGAGACGTAACCGCTGTGCCCCCTGCTGGCCCCACAGGCCTCTCTTAACCACCACATCCATCCTCTGCAGATGTTCCAAAGGAAACTGAGACAGGTTAGCAACTTGTCCCCGATCCTGCAGCGAGTGAGTGGCCAAGCTCTGAAGTCAGGATTCTGATTCTTGGACCTGTGCTTTTGTTGCTGGTAATGATAGTAGTAAAATATTATTATTTTTAAAAATCGTGCTGGTAGAAAGCCCTTCAGAGCAATATAAATATGCTTTAAAAATTAACAACTCTCTTGCGTTTTGTTTTTCATAGAATTTTTTTATTGAGATATAATTATCATGCCGTAAAATTTACCCTTTTAGAGACCAGCAGATGGCATAATAGTTATGTTACTGGATTCCCACATAGTCAACCATGGTTCAAGTCCTGGACTAGGTGGCTTAAAACTCACACTGGGCGTGTGTGCGTGCATGCCCACGATTTCAGGAGAATGGAGGAGAAGGGATTGCTGCGTGGCCATCCCCCCAAGGAATCATTTCTCATTTTCTGTCTCTCTGCTTCTCTCTGTCTCTCTGTCAAGTGCATGTGCCCTGTAGCAAAAAATATCTCAAAAAATTGTTTTGCCCTTTTTAAAAGAACACCCGGGGCTTTTAGTACCTTTACAGACCCCTGCAGCCGTCACCACTGCCTGGGTCTAGAACATGTTCATCGCTGGAAGGAAACCCTGCACCCATTACAGTCAGGCCTTC